TAGAAATCCTAAGTTGGTGAAGTAGTACAGCTTTTGATAGTTATACCAGCTAATGCTTGATCTAGAAAGGAAACTATTATCAAAAGATGCAGATCAAGTCAGATGCGCATAAATCTGTTCTACAAGGAGAATTAGTAATACCAACTTGGCTTGGCAGCTAACTGAATTGAGAAGATCTGCCTTATAAAACATCTAAGAAGATAAATACAAAAAACTAGTAGAGAGTCACAGTAGGAACTGGGTTATATAAATATCTATAAGAGTCCAAGCTAGATAAATCTGTAAAATAGATATGGACTACTCTAGTAAGTTTACTTCTGAGATTAACTGGTGCTCTGTGGCTTACAATACATTAGGCATACGTATCCTGAGAAAACCTAAGCTGTGCAAAGAATAGATCTATAAGTGAACTAGCTAACTTAAGCAGTTGATCATAGTGGTGATGTTAGTTTGAGATGAGAGGAAGAGTTAATGATTAGAGTATTTAAATAAGTAACTCACAGGTAGGTTGCAGATATAGCAGCATAGTGTAGAACTAACAAATGATCAATTATCTGTATAGCGAACTACTTAAATTAGATAATGACTAAAGTTGTATGTGTAGCTTGTTGTATACTCATCATGTAACTATAAAACCTTAGAAAACTATTCATATGATAGTTCTGTAATAACAAACTAATAAAATCTAATCAGCCAAGGAAGTAGCCTTAATAACAAAATATATATATATATATATATAATATTTAACAAGCTTTGCTATTATTATTACTATGATACAAGTAGTCTAGTTATATTAAATTTTTATGATAGAGCTGAAAATTATGTTAATTATTATTTATAAAATTGAATTTGATTAGTTATTGTATATATATATTTTTTTAATTTTTTTATATTAGTACTAAAATTTTTAAAGCTGTATTTTTTAAAAATTAGATTTTTTTTAATAAAAGTTTAAAAAGGCTTATAACTAAATATATAGTTTATAGTTTTTTTGTAATTAAACTTTTAGATAAAAAAGTTTTTGCAATTTTAAATTTATAATAAAATATTTGATGTAACTAGACTGCTTATATTATAACTACAAATATATAATAATATAAAGAAATATATTAAAATTTACTACTAATGCTAACAAAAAGAAGATAGAAAATTAAAAGAGCTATTGTATCTGATACTAGTAGAAGCTCTTTTCTATAGAATAGAAATAGATATAGTAAATTCTTTATTTATTATACTATAGAATAATTATTATATAGTAGTAATTACTAATTATATAATCAAGTAATTCAAAGTACAAGCAATATTTAAGAATAATGTAGAGAAAGTAATGAAATTTATTTAAGAAGATATCATATATTACTATAAGGCCTTACTTCTCTTCTCTCAAATAAAGAGTCCTACTTTTTTTTTTTCTTTGACAGTTTTGTCATAAAACTTTATTAGACTATTAACATATAAAATATACTACTCATTATATTATAATTTTAATATCTAAGAATCTATCCAATTTTCTAAGCTTAATATTACTTAGCTACTATTAAAAGTACCTAAGTACAACTTGTCACACTAGTTATTAAAACTAGAATTATAATATCAGACTACTAAAACTAGATTTCTTTTAATCTAACTAATACTATATTAAAAGTTATTAATATTTAGTAATAAGAAAAATCAAAATTGTTACTAATCTAAAAATACTAAGTTTATTAACAAAGAAAAACTTACTTCAAGTTAAATCTTTGTTAGATAGTAATATAAAAAAAAGGCTAGATAAAAAAACAAAAACAAAGAAAATAAAAATAAAAATACTCTTTAAGTTAAGCTAGGTTTAAAAATATTAAGCTAGCAGACTTATAATCTATTTAATATTATTCTCTTTCTAATATTATAATCTATTTTTATTGTACTATAATAGTATTTCAATTGTTGTTAGCATCTTTTCATATACCTGTAGGACTTGTATAAACAAAATAAACAAAAACAAAATATATGATTTTATTTATTTGTATTTGTATTATTATTTTGTTTGTTTCTATAGTTATGTATCTAATAAAGTATATCTAAAAATAGATATAATAAACAATGCTGATCTTTTGCAGGAAAAAAACTAAATTCTCTACTTTTGTTAAAAAAAAAAGACTAGAGAGAAAAAGCTTGTGATAATATATAAACAAAATAATTTATTATTCTTATTCTTAAGTCTTTTTTTACTAACTTTGTTAATAAAGAACTCTTTTTTGTCTCTTTACTAAAATTTTTTATACAAAAGCTTTACTTGCTAGTTATCTTATATAATATTACTTTTAGCTTGCATATTAAATATACAAAGAAGTCTCTAAGAGAAAGTAGTTAATCTCTGTAAAAACTGTTGTATTATAAAAGAAACTTTTTTATCTTTTATCTTCTTAAATAAATTTTTGTTTTCTGCTTTTTCAAATTTTTGAGAAAAGAGATCATCAGAAAAAGTTGTATTATATCTAATAGAGAGTTCTACTTTAAGAACTAATTAATCAATAAACTACTTGCATCTTTACAAGTAAAGCACTATTATTTTAACTTATATTATTTACAAACTAATAGGTATATAAAGAGATTTAATAAGTCTTTATGTATATTAATTGCCAAGTTAGTAGAAATATTACAGATTAGGATTTACTAATTTTCTAGTATTGTTTATATTTAGAATAGCTAAATACAGTACAACTCAACAAATACTATTCTATCTAATATATAGTAGATATGCCAAATTGCCTATATATTCTACTAAATCAAATAATCTGATTAATCTGACTATTGTCTAATAGATATACAAATTAGAGCAAAATCTACTTCAAGCCTGTAATTAAGTCTTGTAAAAATTAAGTATCATCAGATTAGGCAAAAAAAAATAACAATAGATAACTTCAAATCACTTTTGATTTTTATATTAGTAATAAAGTATATACATTAGATACAAAAAGATTAAAGATTTATAGCTACAAATTTATTCTATATTAGAAAAGTTTCTACTACATATATGCTGTTTTGAATAATAGTACTTATAAATTATAAAGCTTAGATAAAAAGGTATTAACAAATTTTCTAAATAAGAAGTTGTTAAAGATCTACTGCAAAAGAACTCTAAAAGAAGTATTAATAAATAACAACAAAAATATAACTACTATAACTATTACTCAAATCTAATTGGACTTAGCTATTACCCATCTAATAATAATAATTAATCCTATATCATGTCTAATTCTGAATAATCAAAACCTTATCTCAAGACTTGCAATCACTCACTATCAGATTATAAGAGCAGTAAGAATAAGAAATTATATTGAAAATCTAGTATATGCATATTACTTGGAATTCCTTTTAGATGTTTTAGACTGAAGCCAAATTGCAGTTGTCAGAAATTCAGTCTCATACTACTATTTTATTGCTGCTCTCCACACTTATTACCTTTTTAAATATTTCAGAGTAAAGAGATCTACTGTACCTATTTTGTCATGTTAACTATGCTTCAAAGCTTAAATAGCTGAGACCTTCTTTCTCTTATCTGATAAATTCTCATAGAACTCAAACTTAAATAAGGAGAATTGTAAAGGGCTAATTAGCTTTCTGACCTCCAACCTATTGTTTTCTTTTTTTTTTTCTTTTCTCTCTTAATTTTTATTTTCTTTTTTTTTTACTTATCTTTTTATTTTATTATCTTTTTCTGTAATCTCTCAAACTTGTTTAAACATAGAGTTCTTTAATATAGATCATTACCCTTATTTAGTAAAATTGATATGTCGAAATGTTGGATTTATCTAATTGAATTAAATCAATATTAGACAAATAGTAATTAAAATTACTATTTGAAAATTAGATTTAGTTGATATTTTAATTAACAAAATTAATTAAATACCGAATGTATTTACTAAAAGTATAAAAGCGATACTTTTTACTTTCAATAAAAAATAACTTTCGGAGTTCAAACAAAGACTCGCATAAAGTTCAGTAACTGATAACCAATACTTCGAAATTTGAGTAGAAGTTTGGTATTTGAAGTTCCCTATTGTTAAAATAACCTTATTGTTAAAACCCGATCCCGATATAATCAAATCCCGATCAATCAACCACCCTGCATAAAGTCTTATAGATAAACTTTCGATTTGAAGATTCCCATTGTTAAGACTAACAACCAATCGTAGGAAAGACCAGATCACGTGCCACGAAATCATTCTAAATTTTAAGAACCGCAATTAGAAACAAGAGTCAAGAATAACGAAACATCTATCTTAAAGTACCAGGCTAAACTCCAGGATAATCCACAAGATCCCTAAAACCCGGACCAAATCTTCCATGCCGTCTTTCAGCCTACCAACTTAGGGTTGATTGTTGGATTAGTGTTGATATTGTTTGTTGCGCTAAATTACCGAACACAGGTGTATCCGAAACCTCCGGTCAAGTTCCGTACCAGAACCTAATCACACCTTCTCACGGATCTATGGTTATTTTGTTATTCATGTGATTTTTGGTGCGAGCAATCCTATTCTACTGATTTTTTTTATTTACCTCATTTTCTGAGACAAAAACTGTCTCGCTATTTACGTATTGAGCAGTTTTTGTTTAATCAGTTATGAGATTTTGTGACATACAATACTAAAAATGCCCTATAAACTATATACTTCGTAATATTATATATCACTCCGTTTCTGGTATAATAATTTATTTATTTGTTTATTATTATATATTATGATAAAGAAGCTGTTTAATATCTTCTATCTCTGTTTTACTAAGCTCAGTTCTTTTAAACTCAAAATTAACTGAAATTAAACCAATAAAAGGAAAAGATAAAAAACAAAAATAAATCGTAAAAATAAATATAAAACCTAAAACTATTCCCAAAATTATCAAAAGTATTAAAATTACTAAAACTACTACAAAATATATTAAACATATAATACAAAGAAAAGGACAACAACATGTTATAAAATAATAATTACTACTGTCGCCATCGTGTTGCAAATTTTTTAATCTCCTAAAATATAATATTTCTAGTTTACTTAACCAAATTAGTACATAATATAAAGAGATTTTATCTTCATAAAGATGGTTTTCACCTAAAATCTTAGGAATAATTACTTTAGTTAAAATAATAACAGAGATAGTACCATATAAACAAAGTATAGAAATGCTAATAAGAACAATAACAACAATTTTAAATATATTTCTATCATTTTCATTAAGCAACATAAAAATAGCTTTTGCTGCCAATGTAATAAAAATAAATGAAAATATAGCAACCCATATAGATCGTAAAATAAACATATATCGTGTATGATTAACTAGTTTTTTTATAAAATATAATTGCTTTCGATCAAATTGTTCATATTTTTCGAATATTGGTCTCTTTTTGCTAATTTTACTTAACTTTGATTTTATAATCTTAAATTTTATAATGATAATAACATATTCAAAGAAATAAATAAAGTTATCAATTGTATCACTTTCATTTGTATTTTCTTTCGTATCCTTCGTTATTTCGCCTTCATTTTCTTCTTTATTGCATGTTTCTTTATCTTTTTTCTCTTCATCTTCTTCTTTATTACATGTTTTTTTATCTTTTTTCTTACCAGCATTCTTTTTTGTATACTCTTCTACTATTCCGTCTTTATCTTCTTCTTTTTTACATGTTTCATCATCTATTTCCTTCATATTCACTTTTATATCCTTCTTCACTGTTTTGTCTTCATCTTGATTTTCTTCTTTTTTACATGTTTCATCATCTTTAATATCCGCGTTCTCTTTTATATCCTCCACTATTTTATTACAATTTGCACTAATATTCTGTTTTGCAAAAGAATATAATATATTTATCAATGTCATATCTTCATTCTTGTAATTAGTTATTATTTCAACCATTTTATTACTTGCATTCATAATTTTCATTTGCTCATTTGCAATTTTTTCTTCAATATTTAAAAACATATTTATCAATTTTATAACCTTTTTTTTATACGTTCTTGCACTCATCAGCTTGATATCTTTTAACTCGTTTGCGATATTATATATTTCTTTACTTGCTTTCGTGTCTCCTATTTGTTCTGCATGATTCATTACAATAATTTTTAACGTATCTATTAACGTCTGATTTTCTGTTTTATACTTATCCATGTGTTCATCGTGTTTATCATTTAGAACATTTCTTGCATTCTCAATTAATTTGGTTTGTTTGGCAATCTCGTCGTGTTCATCATTTAGATCATTCTCTTCAATCTCAATTATACTTATTTTTTTTTGTTTGTTGTTCATCGTCTGATTCGCTTTTTTAGATTTTTCGTTTATATAATTATTTGCAATCTCAATTATACTTATTTCTTTTTTTTTGTTGATCATGATATTAATATCTCCGTTGCTAGGATTTATAAAATTTGATAGCTCATTTAACAACCCATTTATAAATTTCATATTTCGAATTTTATAACATTTTGCAATCTCAGCCATAAAATTACTCGCATGCATATCTTTCATCTTCCTGAATATATCTTTTGCTTCCTCAAGAAATTCACTTATAAGCTCGTTTTCATAATTGACAATCATTTTCACATGATCTATTCGGCTTTTAACAACCCATTGGATCTTTCTTCCGGGGACTTTGTTTTCTTTTTCATATAATACATCTAGTGTATCTAATCTATTTTTATATAAAACGTTTTTAAGAGCGAATAAACTACCTAAAAGTGTGGTGAGGCTCCCTGTTCCAAAAATAGAGGTAGAAACAATACTTCTAACTTCTGACATCATGTTATTTTTCTCGGCGATATAAAGAAATATACCAACTGCAAGTGAAAACAAACAAATAATAATAGAAATAATAGAGTGAACATTAGATGACGATTGAAGATACTCCCAAGATTTAAACCGTTTTTTTAATTTTATTATATAATAAGTATCGTCGTAAACAATTTTCTGAGAGTCTTTGTCATCTATGTTACCAGAAATATGATTATTTTCTTCAAAATCATGTCTAACATATATGTTGTTACTATCTACTTTATAAAGGGTGAGTTTGTTTTCTTTTTGAGAGTGAGTTGCTGTCTGAGGATTGTTTTCATTATTTCCTTCGCTTGGTTTTTCCATTGATAATAAACAAAGCAAGCTTTTGAAAAAAAATCCTAACGCTAACGTTAAATTGTGAAGCGTATTTATAATTCGGAAAATGATCTACATGTATATTTTGTAATGTAATTGCGATATCTCGTGATCCAGTGATCAGAATCAAATGATTTTTATATTATTAGATTTGTCTCATTGAGACGAATCGAATGGTATAAAAATCATCCGATTCTGATTACTGGATCACGATATCTTCATTTAAATAAAGAACCAATTTTTATAATTTAGTCTTCATAGTAACATGCTAAAATTGACCTTTTTTACTAAGTAAATCGATCTTAGTGCATTAAGTAAAGTTGTTCAAAATACAAAGTTCTACATAATATAACATATTAGTAAATTTTGGATAACTTTTTTATTAATACGCTTTCTTTTTATACGTTTCTGCGCCAGTGATATAATTATGGCACAAAATCGTATAAAACGAAAGTGCATTAATAAAAAATTATCTGAAATTTACTAAAATTTTATATTACGTAGAATTTGCATTGTGAACAACTTTACTTAATGCGCTAAGATCGACTTACTTAGTAAAAAAAGTCAAATTTGGCATGCTACGATGACTTCTTGCAAGAAGACAATTATAAAACTAGTTTCTTTATTTAAATAAAGCTATCTCGTGATACAGTGATCAGAATTGGATGATTTTTATACCATTCGATTCGTCTCGATGAGACGAATCTAATGATATAAAAATTATCTGATTCTGATTATTGGATCACAAATTATTTGCCGTAAAACTTAAGTGTGCCATAGTACTTTTACTTATTATATAATACATATAGTATCTTGTTGGACTCCATTGGCTCCATTGACAAATTATTCTTAATGGAGCAATGGACTAATGTCAATGGAGGTCTACTCCATTGAGCCTAATGGATAAATGTGCCAACCCCGCGTATAACAGCCTTTGCAGTAGAAAGGGCGAATACTGCAATATATGATTTTGAGAATTTCATGATTTGGTTGGTCGGTTATATCGGGTAATCTCGTGATGTACGAAACCTCCAAAAAAAAAAAAATTAAAATATCTGAATTTAGCAAAACTCGATTTTCATTTTTTAGGCAGTATCTGCTCTTTCTGCAAAGGCCCCAAATACGCCCATATGCTTTAAATGCCTACGTACGTGTGTACTAGGGTTGGGGGCACGGTGTCCCAAGGCATGCCATGCCACAGGGCCCACTAATCTTTTATATAGAAAAACCTCACATATGAAGTTTCGTTGATTTGATTGGTCAATTATCATAGTTGACATAAGTTAGGTTAATGATATCTGGAGAGGGAATGCCCAGTGCACAGAGGGGCATGCCCTCGACAAAGGCATGCCTTCTTAGACATGCCCAAAAATTTTCCGTGCTCCCACCCCTAGTGCGTACAGTACATAAATTAGGTCAGATGACCACATTCTGTGATCAAACATTGTACTGTAGTTCTATTTATACTTGCTGGCAAAATGGCAAAACCCGGACAAATTCAAAAAAACAGCTATTTATAAAAAATTGAGTCTTGAAATTTTGCAAATATATTATATATAACTATAAGAATATATGATATTTGTTTAAATAAGGATTATTAATAAAATTTTTGAAATATGAATTTGGCCAGAGTTTGGGATTTAGGCGCGGACAAAATAATTTTATAATAGTTTGGGATTTGCCAACAAGTATAGTTCTATTAGTTCTATTTGTATCACAGATTCTTTATGTTGTCGGCGTATTTTGATTTGTGTAGCATTTTTCTTTCATTGTAGATTATCATTAAATAATACTAGCTTAAAAACCCGCGCTCCGCGCAGGGTACAATTAGAGACTATAAAATTTTTGCCAAAAATATTAATTATTTATTATAGCTGTTTTCAAATTAATGTATCCGGCTAATATGATTAATAAATCATCTTTATACTCACGCACTATTCAAAAGGTATTAAATAATTAATTGTAAATAAGTACTCGAATTAAGTATTTATAAATAAGTATTCTATGATTTTAATTCTACTGATTATCATTAACAAATCATCTTTATACTCACAGACTAAATTAATGTAAAAGAAAGAAATGATTTGAAGAGTATTAGGTAGCTAATTGTAAATAATATTTAGTGATAAATATTCATGAATAAGTATTTATGTTCATATCGTTAATTCTACTGATCAACGTTAATAAATCATCTTTATACTTACAGGCTAAATTAATGCGAGTGAAAGAAATGATTTGAAAGGCATTAGATAATTAATTGTAAATAAATATTTAGTGATAAGTATTATAAATAAGTATTTATATTCATAATTTTAATAAAACTGATTTACGTTAATAGATCATCTTTACACTTACAGACTATTTGAAGGGTATTAGAGAGATAAGTATTTACGAATAAGTATTTATGTTCATAATTTTAACGAAACTGATTAATGTTAATAAATCATCTTTACACTCACAGACTACTTGAAGGGTATTAAGTAATTAATCGTAAAAGAGATAAGTAATTATGAATAAGTATTTATGTTCATAATTTTAATGAAACTGATTAAATCATCTTTATACTTACCTGCTATTTGAAGGGTATTAGGTAACTAAGTATTTAGTGTTTATATTCATAATTTAATTATACTGATTAACCATCTTAATACTCTCACTATTTGAAGAGTATTAGGTGATTAATCGTAAATAAGTATTTAGAGATAAGTATATGAATAAGTATTTATGTTCATAATTTTAATAAAAATGATTAACGTTAATAAGTCATCTTAATGCTCACTAACTGAAATGATTTGAAGGATATTAGGTAATTAATTTTAATGAAAATTATTAACGTTAATAAGTCATCTTTATACTCACTAACTGAAATGATCTGAAGGGTATTAGGTAATTAATTAATTGTAAATAAGTATTTAGTGATAAATATATATATTCATGATTTTAATGAAATGATTAATGTTAATAAATCATCTTTATACTCACGGACTAAATTTGAATGAAATTATTTGAAGGGCATTAGGTAATTAATTAATTGTTAATAAGCATTTAGAGTTAAGTATTTATGTTCATGATTTTTTTTTTTTTTTTTTTTTTTTGCCGATTGGCATTCTTTATTAGATTTACTATAATTATTCTACATTACATTGTTTGCTTTGCTTTTTTTTTGAATGACTTGGTTACACAAACCTAAATTAAATCTAAATTGACGTGTCAAATTGTCTAATGTGTCCTTTTTTTCTATCTTGGGGTCAATTAACGTATTATTTGATTAATAGAGAAAGCAACTCCTTTTCCCTTTTATACAGCCCGTTGCACTTTAGCACTACTTTAACTTCTCTTTTAATTCGATCTTCCCGGATATATTTCAATGATGCTTCAGAGATCTTACTGTTACCCTATTTCACGTTCGTATATAAGTACCATATCTCATATATTATGTTAACGTGTAACTATATGATAATTCTGGACGTAGTATTGCGAAAACTTTTAGTGTTATTTGCCGTGACTACTTCTTCCAAGGTTGTCGGGAGTGGTGTGGTTACCCCCAGTTTCATCCAGCTGTATCCCCATTCCCATAGCTTCCTACTAATTCTACATTTTAAAATGAAATAATCCAGGTCTTGAGATTCTTTGGGGCACCAAGGGCAAGCTCCCGTTTCCTCTGGTATATAGTGGGCTAGTATAACTCCCAAGGGTAGAGCCTTATGAATCATTCTCCAAAATATATCCTTTTTTTTTGCTCAGTACCCAACTGAGACGTTTCCAGGACCACTGTTCCCTATTAGGTTGTTCTATGAACAAATTCGTTTAAGACATTGTGGGGTTAGTAGAAGTTTGTCTTAAAAATTTCGTTGTATCTTGAGCTTATGTTCATGATTTTAATTTCACTAATTAACATTAATAAATCATCTTTATACTCACCCACTACTTGATGGTATTAGGTAACTAATTGTAA